TTTCTATTGGAGCCCATTATAAAAGTCCATATAAATTCGGACTGTATTTCAGCCAGGTTTTATTTTGGTGGGAAAATTCTCAGATTGGAAGCAGAATGTACAAACCAATAAAGATCACTAATCCATCCTGCAAACATGTCTGCCTTTGTGAATCAATTTGTTCATGTTTAGAGTTTAAATAATAAACTTTTCCAGTTGAAACTATTTAAAAAGAAGTTTTTTGCAAAGTTGGGTGCATTGACTCGAAATGTGCTCTGGTAACAGATTTTAAAGTGCCACAACAAATCCAGTTTTTTAAAAAATATATATATTTTTATTGATTTTAGAGAGAGAGGAAAGAAAGAGAGAGAAGTCAATGTGAGAAACATCAATCTGTTGCCTGACTGGGAGTAGAACTGGCGACCTTTTGGAGCAAGGGACCACACTCAACCAAAGGAGACACACTGGCCAGGGCCAAATCCAATTTTGACTTGGAACATGAAACACATAAGCCCCTTTAAGGACAATGCCAAGATGATATAATATATAATTCTGGCAGAGAAAGGCTAAATGTGTACACTTGGACGATTAACTATCTTGGCAAGTTTTTAACTGGTCTAGCCATAGGCATTGACCTTGATTCTATTCCCACTGTTATTATCACAAGTATGTTTCTCTAGTGCCAATTAGAGCAATGAGAGAAGGAGAGAGGGGGAGAGAGAGAAAGAGAGAGAGAGAGAGAGAGAGAGAGAGAGAGAGAGAGAGAGAGCGAGCACCAAAGTAGGGCAGTGCACAGTGAAAATAAAAGGGAGAAGGTTGTGGTTGCTGTTTGGAGTATTTAGGCATGCATTTTTAGCCTTCTTGAAAATCTAACATTTGCTAATTAAGTTTAGTATCTCATAACTCCTAGACACCTTACTGCTTTGTTGTATGGAATATTAGCATTAAGAAGCATGAATTGGTTGCCTACCAATATTTTGCTCATATAAAGGTTCTTCATTTATATGTTGTTTTACAATAGCCAAAAAAATAGGTAAATTGTAAACATAATATTGCCAGCTTTTTAAAAATAAATCACAGGAACTAATTTTTTGACCCTAAGTTATTTCTTTCTTCAAAATATTAAGCAAGTTTTCCACATTTTATTTAGTTACTAGATGCCTGGTGCATGAAATTTGTGCACTGTTGGGGGGCGGGGGGCATCCCTCAGCCCGGCCTATACCCTCTCACAGTCCAGGACCCTTCAGGAGATGCCCGCCTGCTCGCTCCTTACTGTTCAGCTTGCTGTTCCTTAGCTTGCTATGGAGGCGGGAGAGGCTCCTGCCACTGCTCTTGCGCTCACCAGCCATGAGCCCAGCTTCTGTGGGAGCGCACTGACCACCAGGGTGCAGCTCCTGCATTGATTGCCTGCCCCCTGGTGGTCAGTGTGCAACATAACAACCAGTCGTTCTGGTACAGTGGTTCCCAAACTTATTTGGCCTACCGCCCCCTTTCCAGAAAACATATTACTCAGCGCCCCATGGAAATTAATTTTTTAAAATTTTTAATAGCAATTAAACAGAAAGATATATGTATTAATGTTTCTACCTTTTTCGTAAAATATAGTAAAGAATGGTGTAAATTAGAAACATTGAAGTTTGAAATTATGAAACTATTTATTGAACTCAGAATGGAAAGGTAATACAAAAAAAGTTAAAACAAATGCACCTGTGGCCATCACCGCCCCCCTGGATCGCTGCAGCACCCACCAGGGGGCGGTAGCGCCCACTTTGGGAATCACTGTTCTGGTAGTTCCGTCATAATGGTTGCTTAGGCTATTTTATGTATATATATATATATATATATATATATATATATATATATATAGTTATAAATTCTTTTAAAAGGGCTTTATTTGGGTAATAGAAAGATAATTTGAATTAGTTATAAACTTTATCTCTTGACAGGAAAGGCAAATATGATTGAAGCAAAAAAAGAATATATTAAAATCTTTATGTTTTGTCAGAAGAGATATCTATATTAAATATAATGCTTGATTCTTTCACACTCCAAAAGTGTGAAATAAAATATTTTTATTTAAATAAAAGTGTGAAATAAAATATTTTTTTTTTGTGTTAATCATCACCTGAGTATATTTTTCCAATGATTTTTAGGGAGAGTGGAAGAGAGAGGGAAAGACAGAGAGAAGCATTCATGTGATTGCCTCCTGCATGTGCCCCAACCAGGGCCGGGCCTGGGGAGGAACCTGCAACCAAGGTACGTGCCCTTGACCAGAATCAAACCCAGGATCCTTTGGTCTGCAGGCCGTGCACTATCCACTGAACCAAAATAGCTAGGGCTAAAATTATTTTTTTTAATTAAGGAAACATATATTGAGCATGTGCCAAGCTTTTTAGGTGCTGGGGATTCAGTGGGGAACAAAATTTCCAAGTCCCTATGCTCATGAAGCTTGCATTTTTATTTTCTCTCCCTCCAGAATAGATCATGTAGTGACAAGTGCTACGAGGAAAAATGGCATAGTGTAGGGGAATAAAGACTGATGTCAGTTCTATTTTAGGTAAAGTGCTCAGGGAAGTCCTCTGAGAAAGGGAAATTAGGGCAGAGGTCAGAATAAAGAAAGGAAGTTGCCATTCAAATATTTGAATGAAGAATATTATAGGCAAAGGATGCTGTAAGGGAAAAAGGCTTTGAAGGGCAGTGTTATTTGATGTGTTCAAAGAACAGCAACAAGACCACTCTGTTTGGAACAGAGTGAGGTAGGAGAAGTGTGTTAGTATATGAGATTGAAGAAGTGCATGGGGGATGTTCTTCAGATTCATTATGCAGGAAATGAATATAAAATCCAACTTCCAATGGAGGGAATGCCACTGGAGAATTTTGAGTAGGGGGGTAATATGATAGGATTCAACCTTAAAAAATAATCATACTAGTGGGCTGTGGGGAAATTTAGACTATAATCGATAAAACTAGACACAATGAGGCTGGTTTGAATGTTATAGTTGGTAAGGTGAGAGATTATGGAGACTTGGACTACAATGGTAGTTATGGGAGTGGCAAGAAGTGTTCAAAATTTTAACCTTGAGCCAATAAGTGTTGATGAGTGGTTGTGGTGAGTAGGGGAAAAAAAGAGTTAAATGTGACTCAGATTTGGAACTGGAGCACTGATTAAAGGGTATTGCCAAATACTAAGATAGAGAGGGATGGGCTGAGGATGGAAGAAGGAATAGGAGTTAGGTTTCAAACATGTAAAATGTGAGTTGCCTATTAAACACCCAACTTTATTAACATGGTCTCATAAAAATACGTTGTATTTACAAAATAAATTAATAATCACTTTATGTCTACAAAGCATGTTCCATAACTTAATCTAGTTTGAATACTGCTATACCCTTGTGACTTATATGGTCAAACAGCCTGTGATGAATAATTTTTGAGGTTTTACTTTCATCTTGGCTGAAGCTATTTTTTTTCCATTTTCTGCTGAAGTATTTTTTTTTCTCAAGAATTTTCTGAATTTGTCTCTGGGCAAGCTGTGAAAGAACAAAGAATTTTAATGTCTACTGATTTAAAAAAATTGCTTAAGTTTTACCATCTTCATTTCAATTTCATAAGACTTCAACTAGAAATTGAAGGTTTAAGATATACACTCATCTACTCCTAATGTAGTTTTCAAAAGTCATCGATATTGTCAGCAATGTTAGAATTGTAGTGTAGATCAAGTCCAATAATAATAATGACACCTCCTAACATTTGAGGGCTTGTGTTTGCCATGTTCTGTGCTAAGTGCTCACACAGTTTAAATCATTGAATCCACACAACTGTCCCCGTTCTACAAAGGAAATAATTAAGCTACAATGACATTAAGTAATTTTGCCCAAGTTTCCAGAGCAAGGGAGTGGGGGAGTCAAGATTCAAACCCAGGCAGACTGGTCCTAGAGCCAGCACTCCTAACCACCCCATACTGCCTCTCTGGAGAAACTCTGAGAAAGTTTCACTAGGTGAAGAGACAAGTTGTTTAAATAATAGGTGTTGAGGAAATAAAGCCAGAGAATAGAGAATTAATTTAGGATATTGCTTCATTAATTTATATTTGAGTGCCTATTATATACCAATCACTATGCTAGAACTATAAAAACAATGGTTTCTGCTCTATGGTTCTCAGACAAGGAAAGGAAATGGAGAAAATAAAGCCTTGAATAGGAAGCAAGACTCAGGAAAGTTTTGCTTTGCCTCTTAATTTTAAGAGAGAGAAGACTTAGTTATATTTGCATAATGAAGAGAAAGAGGCATTGTATGGGAAAATGAAGACTTGTCACAGACATTGATCTATTAACTTTCAGAGAGTGGTAATTTTCAATAACAATAGTTCCCGTATGTTCAAAAACTTTTAAGTTTTAACAATCTAGATATAAACATACACATCAATTAGAGTCCTAGAAATTTGGCATTTATGAGGTTAATACAACCATTATTGATAGCTAAATTCAGTTAGAAGCATATTTTAACTCTGAATTATCTACCTACTCTGAATGTCCTCATTGATTAAATTTCTACTTAGCATTTTGTAGAAATAGTTCCAATGTAAAACTATTTCCACACCATCACTTATTTCCCTTATCATTTTTATTCAAACTTGCTCATAATTATTGAGGTATATCTTATCAAAGGCATTTTTTTCTAATGCAAACAAAATCTGACTCATAAAAACTAGGTGACTTTATAAATTCATGATCTAGCTATTTATTGCTCACATTAAAAAGGCATGGATTTTATAATGAATACCTGCAGTGAAAAAAAAAAGGGGGGGGATTTATAACTTCAAATGACAGCATCTCTAGAAGCTACCTTGTTTTTTATGTGAAGGGTGCTGTTTTGAATGAGGGCATGGAAACCAGTGAGTATTGGCTTCTGTTTTTGTTGTACACTTTCCAGAAATTTTTGACTGAAGACTCTATGCACTGTAGTTCTTTCCACAGAGAGCTGGCTGATATTTGAAGAAGTTTTTTATTTCTTCAAGAAAAATGCATCTTTCCCAAGTCTCACTCTTGTTCTTTAATATATGTATTTTTATTTGTGGAGAAACTATACAAGGTAACTGTGTACATCAATCTACGGTAAGAATTTCAGCAATATTATTTTAACTAGGAAAGCATGATTATATGGTTTTAAATACTTATCTTAGATGTTTGAAAAGATTAATTATACCACCCAATATAATTTATGGAAAAATTAAAGTATTTATTTAGAAATGTTGAAACTTTGCTTAAATGATGTTACTTGTAAATGTAGGAAACCATAAACGGAGGATTGACTCTTAACCTATTTCTTGTGAAAATATTTTATTCAAATTGCAGGCCTAGGTTAAAAACTAGCCAGCAACTTTCTGATTAACTTTGATAAAGAACTATCCGGTAAGTAAAAAAAAAGATTCACTTCACTTATAAAAACACTATTCTATAAACTTTCACATTTCCAATATAGTCTGTGAGTGGTTACCTAAGATGTTAGAAAATGTTATTTAAAATAATGTCAGAGTAATAACTTAATATAGTGTAGACAATACTATGAAGAGATGGCGATTTGAATGTTACATATTTAAATACTGGTTTATGTATTTTTAAACATTATGAAATGTATTTACCACTCTATAGATACCAAATTCCGAAGTTCCAAGGTTAAGCTACAGAAATATTAATAATCTAATTCTCTAAAATACTATTTAAGAATCTCATTTAAATCTGAAAAAAATAACCTAGAATGTAGGTTTTTGAAAACATCTGGTATGTCAGTTATTATAGGAGTAGAAGAGAAGGAGCAAGAAGTCAAAAATAAATCTAACAAAATGTATTTATCATTCTCTCAATATCCAGGTCTAAGGAGGACAAAGCTTGTTATTAAAAAATATGTTATTTATATTGATATAATTTCTACCAATGAGTGTTTTAACATTGAAGAAACCAGAGTACTAACAGAGTAGATATTGCTGGAATGACAGCTGCAGTTTGCTTTTTAAAATGACATCTGTTGTTGATTTTGCAAAGCAAAATTCCATGCTTTTTTCTGTTATTATTGCTACCCTTCAAACCTGAGTATTTTACTTTTTTTTGTTAATTAAATCTTTATTGTTCAGATTATTACATTTGTTCCTCTTTTTTCCCCCCATAACTCCCCTCCACCCAGTTCCCACCCCACCCTCCTCCCTCACTCCCTATCCACTGTCCTCATCCATAGGAGCATGATTTTTGTCCAGTCTCTTCCCGCGTCCCCCTTGCCCCTTTCCCTGCCAAGAATAGCCAGTCCACTCCCTTTCTATGCCCCTGATTCTATTATAATCACCAGTTCATTTTGTTCATCAGATTATTCACTTGATTTTTAGATTCACTTGTTGATAGATATGTATTTGTTGTTCATAATTTATATCTTTCCCTTTTTCTTCTTCTTCCTCTTCTGAAAGGATACCTTTCAGCATTTCATATAATACTGGTTTGGTGGTGATGAACTCCTTTAGCTTTTTCTTATCTGTGAAGCTCTTTATCTGACCTTCAATTCTGAATGATAGCTTTGCTGGATAAAGTAATCTTGGTTGTAGGTTCTTGGCATTCATCACTTTGAATATTTCTTGCCACTCCCTTCTGGCCTGCAAAGTTTCTGTTGAGAAATCAGCTGACAGTCATATGGGTACTCCCTTGTAGGTAACTGAGTTTCTTTCTCTTGCTGCTTTTAAGAGTCTCTCTTTGTCTTTTGCTCTTGGCATTTTAATTATGATGTGTCTTGGTGTGGTCCTCTTTGGATTCCTTTTGTTTGGGGTTCTCTGCGCTTCCTGGACTTGTAAGTCTATTTCTTTCACCAGGTAGGGGAAGTTTTCTGTCATTATTTCTTCAAATAGGTTTTCAATATCTTGCTCTCTTCTTCTGGCACCCCTATACTTCGGATGTTGGTACGCTTGAAGCTGTCCCAGAGGCTCCTTACACTATCTTTGTATTTTTGGATTCTTTTTTCATTTTGCTTTTCTGGTTGGGTGTTTTTTGTTTCTTCGTATTTCAAATCATTGACTTGATTCTTGCAATCCTCTAGTCTGCTGTTGGGAGTCTGTATAATATTCTTTATTTCAGTCAGTGTATGCTTAATTTCTAGTTGGTCTTTTATCACAATCTCGAGGGTCTCATTAGATTTCTTGTAGATCTCATTAAGTTTATCGGCAGTTTCTAGAAAATTATTGAAAGCCCTTAAAAGTGTAGTTTTGAACTCTATATCCAATAGTTTGCTTTTCTCCATTTCTGTCATTTATGTCCTTTTTCTTTGTCTCCGCATTTTTTATGCTTCCCTGTGTTGATAAAGTGGTTTTCTGTGCTGAGTGTCCTCTAGGGCCCAGTGGTTTAGCCTCCCCAATTACCTGAGGAGGGAACTCTTGGTGCACCCCCTTGTGGGCTTTGTGCACAGTCTTGTTGTAGTTAAGCCTTGATTGTTGTAGTTATCACTGGGAGGAATTGACCTCCAGGCCAATTGGCTGTGAGAATCAGCTGTGTCTGCAGTGGGAGAACTTCTGTGCTGGAGACACCCCTCTGGGGCAAGACTTGCTTCAATGGGGCTTTGGTGCTCACTGAGTCTTCCCCCTGAGTGTGTCCTTTACGGCTCCACAGGGCTGCAAACTGGATGGTCCCACTCTGACCTCTGGGTTTCCTGACTCCTGGGTCTCTAGGGAGGTGCTAATCTAGCCTTTGCCTGAGGCTATCCAGCAAAAGCCTCCCTGCAGGGCTTGGGTGGGGCGGGTCCCACGGGATCAACAGGGCAGGGCTAGCAGTTATGGCTGCTCTCAGTCCAGCCCTCAGAGGCTCTGCTTTTCAATGTCCTGGTAATTGCTGCAAGCCCCTAGGAGAGAAAGCTGCCCTCGAGTTCCCACCGCTGCCAGACAGTCCTGCTTCTCCCGTATGAGTCTGGGTCCCTAGAGACTCACCTGGAACTGGAGCTCAGAGCCTGAGACTCCCTCCCGATTGAAAACAACAACTGCGCCCTCAGCCGCCAGCTCGCTCCGCATGCACTCCGCACCTTAGTATTTTACTTCAGCACTGCGCCTCCTCTGAGTCTCTGTATGCTTTTCTCTTTCCTTCTAGTTGTAGAATTTCCCCTCAGCCAGCCTTCCTGTGGTTCTGGATGATGTCCGTTCTGTCTTTTAGTTGTATTTTTGAAGTGGTTGTTCGAGGCAGTGAACTCCAGTGTTTACCTATGCCGCCATCTTGGTTTTTCCTCGAGTATTTTACTTTTAAATCATTAGCTTATACAAAGGTGACAATTCTCTTACACATTCCTCAACCTCTACCCCTCAGGATGATTTCTAATAGCTGGCGGCAGAAAGTCCATTTGGCATAGAAATGTTGCAGGGAACCCTCTTAGACCATGTTCAAGGAACTTAAATTTGCAGATTCCTAAAAGGGGGATGGCTCAGCACGGTATCACACCCCCAAATGTGCAAACGTTAAAGTCACACAGCCATGGTTATAGACCTTAGACCCTAAGTGCTGTTGGCTTTCTGTACCCATGGGTTCTACATCCACAGATTCAACTAACTGTATGTAGAAAATATTTAGGGCAAGAGTTACATTGTTGCTACGTTTATCATGTAGTTAGGCCTACAATGGTTTCATCTGTTATTATTCCCTAAATAATACAGCATTACTATTTACACAGCATTTACATGAATTAGGCATTACAAGTCATCTAGATATAATTTAAAGTATGCAGAAAGATATGCATAGTTTCTATGCAAATACTATGCCATTTTACATGGGGACTTGAGCAACTGTAGATTTGGATGTCAATCCCTGTGGATGCCAAGGGATGACTGTAAGTCCTTTTGAAATCTGAGAAGAAAAGAGAACAAAAGTACTGAATTAACATACACTTATCATTCATACTCCAAATCTACCCATAAGGTTTATTTATGGAAGTTTGAACTAACCAATTTATTAACATGTTTTTTTTTCTAATAATCATTTTTATGTCCTTACACCTCATCTTTTCCCTTTAGTCTTTTTATTTACTGTGCAATTAGACCATATAACATGCTTCATATATTTTTTCTTATTTCTGTTTTTTTTTATTATAAAGGATTCTCCAGTAGTTAACATTGTAGAAAATGTATCTCATATAAAAGATGAAAGTAAAAGGAATGATACTGTTTATAAGGAAGAATGTGAGGAATCATGTGATATTAAAATTAAAATTACACGAGAAGAAAAACATTTCATGTGTAGTAAGTATTACAAATAACCATAATTATAAAGGTATATGATTTTATTATTTCTAGGGTGGACATGGGAAAAATATGCCTTAGCTTTTGTTTGGGCTATTTTATATATGTCCTGATTATCCTAGGCTGGTAGTTGTATGTGTTTGACACATAGTGCTGCTTAGTAAATATTTGGTAAATGAACAAACCCTTCTTCTATATAGCCCCTTGGCATCAAGACACCACAGAAAGAAGGGGCAAGCCAGAGGGCACTGATAGCAATATTATCTGGGTTGTTAATTCCATTTGCGATAGTAGGAAATTTCACCTTAGCTTTATGGGGGTGGGGTGGGGTGGGTCAGTGGGGGGGGAGGCGGGAGAGGGGGATTCATTAATACTGAATAACTGTTACAAAAGGTGTAATACAAATTTACAACAATTTATTTAACAAAGCATAACAAGTTTTAAAATCTCAATTTTTGTTTAGAACTTATTTAGTAACAATGCAGTAATTGTCATGGTCTATTATATGTACAGAGGGGTGGGGTGAAGAAGGGGAATCAGAAGTGGAAGAGGTGATGATTTGATCCAGCTCTTAAAGGGTCGTAATTCCTTGGTCAGAAAGTATGAAAAACTCACTTTAATGCGCTTAATTCAATGTGTAACACAGGTGTCTCAGGCTTCTCAAACCAGGGAGTGTAGCTTTCTGTCCATTAAGAACAAAATAAACCAGCAGACAAAATAGAAGCAGACTCATAGATAAAGAACAAACTGACAGCTGTCAAAGGGAAGAGGGGTTGGGTGAAAAAGATGAAGGGATTAAGCAAAAAAAACAACACACACACACACACACACACACACACACACACACACACACACACCAAAACCAAAACACCGAACACACACACACACACACACACACACAAATAACCCCACCCCCCCAAAACGCCCAAAAAACTCACAGATACAGACAATAGTATGATGATTACCGGAGGGAAAGAGGGGTGGGAGGAGGTAGAAGAGGGTATGGGGGAGTGAGGTAATGGTGATGGAAGGAGACTTGACTGAACACACAATACAATATACAGATAACGTATTATAGAATTGTACACCTAAAATCTATATAATTTTAATCAATATCATCCCAATACATTCAATTTAAAAAGTTCTTTCTAAAAAAAGACAGATGTCTAAAATTAGGAAGACTCTAATAGAAAATAAGAGAATGAAAAAAAAAGAGAGATGAAGGCTGGGTGAGGTAGATTTCAAAATATCAAGAATTATTAATGTTACTGTACTGCTAGAGTGAAAGGAACATAGAAATAAAACAAATTTTTAAAGAATAATGTATGCAGTAATGAGTGGTTCCTTTTGTTATAAAGGACATCTCCAGTATAATTGGAGAAAACTTGCATGAGGTCTGAGCTATACATGACAGTCAATGTTTATTTCCTGGTTTTGATGGTTGTGTTGTAGAGAATGCCTTTTTGTAAGAAATACACAGCAAAATATCCAGGGATATCATGGCGGGATGCTCTCAAATAATTTAGGAAAAAGTTCTTTGTACTCTCCTTGCAACTATTCTATCAGCAAGCTTATTTAAAAATGAAAACATTTTTAAAAGGAAAATACATAGTGAAAACTCAGTCAGAAACCAACCAACCAAAATTTGTGACGAAGAGTTATGATGTGTGTATATGTATGTGTGTTTGCAATTTGTTTATATAAAAATGTAGCATTATCATAAAAAATTAAAAGAAAGGTTTTAATATTAAATTTCATGATAGGGGATTATTGCCTTTTACTTTCTCATGTAGGAAGAATCAATGAGTCTTGGACCTCTTGCTTCTATACCTCTCGTCTTCTAAAGTGAGAATTGATATTCAGAATGTTGTCTCTCAATTATATCAGATTAAATTATTTGGGGGGTAATCTAAATTATTAGGAAGCATAACTTCATTAAGAAGTGTTAAAACAGCTGCATTCTTGGTTCATCCTGAGTTATACAAAAAATACACTAACTAGAATATGCAATTCTGAGTATTTACAGATATTGTAGTTTACATATTTGTTCAAAATTATGTGAAATTTATTATTTTTTATTGTAATTAGTTTCTATAACAGTCTAATATTTAGAAAACACTTTTTATTATGATTTAAGGAAATTTGCAAAGTTCTATTATTTCTTACACACGAAGTACCAAAAAACTACTAAGAAATATAATGGATGAGCAGCAAGCTTCCTTGGATTACTTATCTAATCAGGTATGAATTTTTGGTATCATGTTGTTATTGTATTTGCAGAATGACACAGTTATCTAGAAGTACAATCATTTACTTTTCTGAATGCATTCATGTCCAGGCATCTATTTAGTGTCTCCTACATTGGCAGCACCATAGTAAGCCTCAGGCAAACAGAAAGTAACAACAACAACAACAACAAATGACCTTTACTTAAGGGTAACACAGTCCAGAAGAGCAGAATAATGTACTGAAAATGTTTTGAATGCTGTCAGAATGACACAAAGGTATCCAAGATCCAAGATATGATAACCTTTCTAGATGAATAGATGCTTCAAAGGTCACAAAGGGTGGGTAAGAGGGTAGGGCATGGTGTTCTCAGAATACCTGGATGTTGGTGCAGCAATGTAGTGGCTGTTGAGTTAAGGATGTAGAAGAAAGACTGACTAAAAGAAATAGGAATTAAATCATGCCACACCAACGAGTCACCCAAATGTCTGAGCAGCGAAATCAAATGGTTAGATTGGCAGCTGGTGTGAAGGATGACTTCAGAAGGAGCAGAGGAAGGGAACAGAGACTCCAGATAGGGAACTACAACAGTGGTTCAAGCAAGATATCAAGAACAGATTTGCAAGAGCAGTCAAGTGCAGAAATAGGCAGATAAAAGCTAGAGCAGTTGCTACTTAGCGATGCCTTTACTGCTTTTTTAATACAGTAAAAGAGTCAATGTAGAAATATGGTCATTATATGTGTTTCAGAGCTGGATTTATAAGAAGCTTAGAGATATTAGTTATAGAATTCAACTAAAGGAAGTTTGTCCAAATATAAATTTGCTTCAATGTGTGCATGTGTGTTTAGGTTAATGAGCTCATGAATCGAGTTCTCCTTTTGACCTCTGAAGTGTTTAGAAAACAGCTGGATCCTTTTCCTCACAGACCAGTTCAGTCACATGGTGAGAACTTTGGTATTTCAACCTTTTCATATTTCTCTTTTATTGCTTAAAATTTTCCTGGACAGGTTGGGGCGTTTAGAAGTTTTGTTTCAACAATACAGCTCACTATTATCTAACAGACTGGAGGAGTAATATTTGCCATTAAACAAATTTCAACCCACACTATGTGTACTTTCCTAAATTGGGAAACTTTTCTGACATTTTGAAAGCCATGGCTGTATACAGATATTCTGAATCTGTTGAAAATAGTATAGTTTTATGTAATTGAATTCTGGGCTCCCCTTATATTTTATTATAATTAATCTTTAGCTAGAAGAAAAGAATTTTCAGAGTTCCCTCCACCTATAAAAGTATTTTTGACATTTTTGAAACATTTCAAATTGGGACTTAAACTTTTTGAAAAGAAAAAGAAAAAAGACAGAAATAAACCAGGATTTAGCGTTTTTTTGTACTAAAAATATATAGTAATTCCTGGAAGCTTGGGTTTCTAAGAAAAATGCTTATAAATCTTACATTTATAGATTAATATAAAAAATTCCAAGTAGATGAATATTATTGAGGGCCTAGTAGTGTATGATCTTTCTTTTTTCCTTACAAAGGGAAGAGAATAAACAGCTACATAGAATCTACTATGTGTCAGGGATTAACATATGTTAACAGGGATAACATTTTCTCATGTTATTTTGTTATTTTTTTCCACTTTATTGTATCTCATTTATTTCCCATAACCATCCAAGAGGTAGATAGTGTTACATGGTGGTGAGGAGCATGGAGTGTAATGTCAGACTGCTTTCTTCAGATCTCACCCACTGTCCCCTTAATATCAGTATCCTAATCTGTAAACTGACAATACCTACCTCATGTGGTTGTTGTGAGGATTAAGTGAGTATATACATGCAAAGCTCTTAAAATATTGCCTGACGTGTAGTAAGACAATATAAGGGTTTGCTGTGATGGTGATTATCATCAGATGAGGAATATGCAGCCCAGAAAAATCTAAGTAAAATGTTCACACTTATATGGATGGTGATGTCAAAGAAGATATTCCAATCCAGATCAGTCTTTCACTGGAAACTTCTATCATCTCTTTGAGCATACATTTATGATAAGAATGTCTCAGTAATTCAGAACAAAGGCAACAAATCAATATCTCCTGGAAATGAAGGGAAAAGCGAACAATTTTATGGCTAATTTTTTTGTAGATGACCTTTTTTGAGCATTTACTGTGTACTAGGCTCTGTGCTAAGTGCTTTACATAAAGCCTTAGGATGTAAATCATCAGGCTAACACTACAAAGTAGATATTATTATTATTATTATTATTATTATTATTATTATATTGCACATGGAGCAAAGAGGTTAAGTAACTTAGCGAATGTTCTCGATTAGTAAGGAGAGGAACTAGGACTCTAACCCAGGCTCTCGGCTCTGGAGTCCTAAGCTTTCATGTGTTTGTTTTTCTGGGTAATTGACACTTGTGAGGGTTGAATTTATTTTATTAGATTTATGAAAGGTAATACAGAATAAAGTATCGTAGAGTAAAATGTAATATCCATATCCACATAAATACAGTATGTTTACAATTCCCTGGCAATTGTAGAATGCTTTGGGGAGGGTGGTTATAGGGTGCTACAATTCTGTTGTCAACAGAACAGGCTTCAAGCATAACTTCTTCTTGGTGAAGAAAGTGATTTTCCCCTTCTCTCCCTTTGCTGCTTGTAATAATGGTCCTCAATACATCAAAGTTTCTGAGGTTTTGAATATAGTAGTCAAAGGTATGTTAATAGTAGTTAATCTATATAATTCCTTTGGGTTTTCTCCTCCCTGTAGATAAGCCTAGATTCCTAAAAAGGCATTATTTATTGGGCAAGAGAATGTATAATTATAAAATATATTAAATAAATGTTGATCTCAAATGAAACTTTTAAACAGTAGTGAATATTAATAACTAACAGTGATGTTATGTTTATTATAGCATGTATTCTTTAATCCCAGTCTTTCCATGTGTTTTCTCTTTATTTCTAAAATTGAGATAATTTTTCATTTCCAAGAGTTAAAATCATCATACCCTTAGTGGAATTTGTAATAATTTCAAAGCACTGTTAATTCTCTACAGTAGAGTTATTATCTTAAATGTACACTTGAAAATATCCTAAATAACTAATTTTACTTTTCTAGGTTTAGATTGTACTGATATTAAAGATACTGTTGGCTCTGTCACCAAAACACCAAGTGGTTTATACATAATCTATCCAGAAGGATCTAGCTACCCATTTGAGGTAAAGTTTTCCCTTATTGTATGAAATAGGATAAATATCCAACCACATTAATTAATGTTAATATTTAATTATTTTAATACTTAACATATCTCTTGAAAAATTTTAAGTAAGTTATTATAAGTTCTAGTTTCAAATTTTGTTTTTTTAAAGTTCTTTGCCCAAACACAAATGTGTAAAGGGACTACAGAGTTTTTCACTTTTCTCTCTGAGTTTTCATGGTTATACTTTTCAAAGTAAATCCTTTTGGTTCAAAATCTTTTTAAAAAATATATATTTTTATTGCCCTAACCCGTTTGGCTCAGTGGATAGAGCTTCAGCCTGCAGACTGAAGGGTCCCAGGTTTGATCCCGGTCAAGGGCATGCACCTTGGTTGCGGGCACATCCCCAGTAGGGAGTGTGTAGGAGGCAGCTGATCGATGTTTCTCTCTCATTGATGTTTCTAACTCTCTATCCCTCCCTTCCTCTCTGTAAAAAGTCAATAAAATATATTTAAAAAATATTTTTATTGATTTTAGAGAGAAAGGGAGAGAGAGAAAGAAAGAAACATCAATGATGAGAGAGTATCATTGGTTGGCTGCCCCTTGCATGCCCACACTGGGATTGAGCCTGCAACCCGGGCATGTGCCCTGACCAGGAATTGAACTGTGATCACCTGATTCATAGGTTGACACTCAACCACTTGCTATGCTAGCTGGACTGGTGCAGGATCTTATATTATCCTTACAGTAAGCAGATTGTGCAATATAAATACTTACTTGCTTTAATTAGCTTATAAATATTAGAAAATAATGGTGTGCTTTGCCTTAGAGCTCACTAAAAATTTTGTTTTCCTTTCCTGCATATAGTTATAATTTTTTTGTATGACAAGTGCTTTTATGTGATTGTATAAGTTAATAATTAAAAAAAAATTAAAGTGAGACATTGAAAAGCTGACTCACTTATAAATTGAATAAAATAAATCATTGATGTCTATTCTCAGTAGTTCTATTGTGGGATTTCTAAAAGAAATTTCTACCAGAAATTCTGTATATTTATATATATTATATATATAATTTTTCTGATACTTCTTTATGCATAAGAAAGTTTATTACAGTGGTATCACACCTTGTTGATATTCTTTATTACACCAATAAAATAATTTTTTTTCTAAGTAGATACTAGCAATGTCTTAGAATTGCTAACATTATTCTTTGACACCTATTCACAAGCTGTCAAAAGTTTAGGAACTAGGCGGGAAATAATTTTTAAATTATTTAATTCAAAAATGGGCCAGAGCTGATGTGGAAAGGGAAGGCTTCTCATTTTTGAGGAGCGGGACGCACAGTTACCGCTTCTGTGGGAGAGCTTTGTTCCCTCGCTTCCTCCCCGCCGCTCTCTACACAGCAGGACGTTTCTAATGGGGAGGATTGCTCTGATCCCCCCATGTCACTGCTGTGGGCTCCCTACCGTTGTCCTCTTAGGGCAGTGGTTCTTAACCTTGGCTGCACATTAGAATCACCTGGGAATCTTTTTAAAATCCTGATTTCTGGGCCTCATCCTCCGGAAATTCTGTTTCTTTGTGACTAATGTTGTGGCCCCACCCCATAACAAAGAAACAGAATTTCCAGAGGATAAGGCCCAGAAATCAGGATTTTAAAAAGATTCCCAGGTGATTCTAATGTGCGGCCAAGGTTGAGAACCACTGTTTTAGGGGCATTTCACACAGTTGCCAAAAGATACACCTATGAGTGCCTGCTGAGATGGGGCACAGATCACACCTCTGTGCCTGAAAACTGCAGCCTGCAGACAGTCCTCCCCGGCTTTTGGAGGAAAGAACAGTCAAAGACAGGTACAGGGAAATATTTAACACTGTATTTTAAAAAATCAACACTTTCATTCAAAGGAAAAGTTAATTTGTCAAGAAATACATCACTCTACCACATCTTATTGGTACTCTTATTACTCAACTGAAAAATATTTAGAGTTAAGGGATAAGAGAATAACCTTAAAATGCTACAAACACCTATACGTTAAAAAAAATGATGGATACAGGAACCCATAGAAATGACATTTAAATTTCTACAAAGAATTCAGTTTATCATAAAACAACTTATAGTTAACTGAAGTATAGTCTCTGCATCAGTACATTGAATATATTAATATACTATTGCATTGAAACTTTCAGTGAAAGCATCTTTTCTTTCTCTAGGCTTAAAGGTGAAGTATGAGTTTTATATAAAAGAATGAAAGTCATAGTATGTTATTTTTGTCTTCTCTGGGTCTATTTTAGGTAATGTGTGACATGGATTACAGAGGAGGTGGATGGACTGTGATACAGAAAAGGATTGATGGGAGAATTGATTTCCAAAGGTTGTGGTGTGATTATCTGGATGGATTTGGTGACCTTTTAGGTCAAATTATATTTATTTTTCCTTTATTTTTTTTTCTTCTTTTTGGTATTACACCTATAGACTGTCTCTTGGTCAAATTGTTAGTAAGAAAATCGTAAATGCTTGTGAATATAAAAATATGACTAAATCATTCTCTCTTAATATGACAAATTATTTAAAACTCATGCACGGTTGCCAAAACCGGTTTGGCTCAGTTGATGGAGCGTCGGCCTGTGGACTGAAGGGTCCCAGGATCGATTCCGGTCAAGGGCATGTACCTGGGTTGCGGGCATATCCCCAGTAGGAGATGTGCAGGAGGCAGCTGATCAATGTTTCTCTCTCATCGATGTTTCTAACTCTCTATCTCTCTCCCTTTCTCTCTGTAAAAAATCAATAAAATATATTAAAAAAAAAAAACAAAAACAAAAACAAAACTCATGCACGGTGGAGGGGGGGGGGGGAGCTTTCTCAGCCTGGCCTGCAGGGAGTGGGCCAAAACTGGCTCTCTAACTCCCGAGGGGTCCCGGATTGTAAGAGGGTGATTCTGGGGTGACACACCCAGGAATCGGGCTCCCTCCTCTGTTCTCCCAATATTATGTCTCACTTCTTTCATCTCACTTTACCCCAAGTTCGGTGGTAACTGAGGACTTGTGGGCATTTAGCTGCAAAATGCAATTATTTAGCAAACAGGATTTACTTAGCCTGGAATCTTGTTGGCCTAGGGCAGGACTCTGCTCAATGTCAGGCTCCCGCCCAGGCCCTTCTGCCCAGGTGGAGTCCAGTGGCAGCAGGAACCTCCTTCTTCCCACCTGAGCTGCTCCTTCGCCTCCCCTCCCTGGAGGTTGCCTGCTGGCGCTACTGTCGGCCCAGAAGGAGGGAAGCTGTGGCCAGTTTCCCAGATGAGAGTGGTAGTGGGAAAATTTGCTGCCTCCACTGGAAATCGATATTAAGCGGGTGGGCCGGCACAAGCGTTAGATGTCAGGGCCACAGCCAGTAGGCCCTGCACATCTCATCATTTAGCTAATTGAGTCAAAAAGTTTCTGTAAGGGCCAGACCCACGACCTCTGCAATGGGCTAGAGGCCTGGTGGCGAGCCAGACTCAAAGTGGGGAGCCAATGGGCTAGAGGCCTGGAGATGGATTCATGCACCAGTGGTTTCCCTTGGTCAGGCCTGCAGGGATCAGACCAATACCAGCTCTCTGACATCCCCCAAAGGGTCCTGGATTGCAAGAGGGCGGTTCTCGGGTGCTGCACCCTGGAATCGGGCTCCCTCCTCTCTGGTTCCAGTTGAGAACCACAGCTGCCAAGTCACCGCAGCTCAGCAGCTCCCGCATTGAGCGTCTGACCCCTGGTGGTCAGTGCGTGTCATAGCTACCGGTTGGCCGGTTGGCCACTTAGGCTTTTATATATATAGATAAGTAGGTCTTTAGTTGGAATTCGAAAATCTTTAATTTTAGATACCTGTTGAAATATGATTTGTGTGAAAATTCTAAATTGGGTATTTATTAAGTATCTGCTATGTACCCAGAAGAGTTATGGCAGGTGCTCAACAACTATTTGTAGAACTAAAAATGTATGGACATGGTTGCCATAAACCTTGACATTCTTCAGATGTGTGTTGTGTCTACACAAGTAAATTAAATGGAGAATTTAGGTATGTGGCTGTAAAAATTTGAGTAATGTGAACTGGGAGTAGTGTTTTATAAAAATATCAATTAAAATCACTATACTCAAAATCTGAAAAATGTAAACCTTAGGTTGATTGTAAAATCTGTTTACATTATTGCCACACAACAGCATATACTTTTGTTGGTGAATAGAAATATCAGTATTTCTGAATACAGTAGATTTTACATTGGTTGGAATGTTTGCAGGTGATTTTGATCATTTTTATGTTAGTTTAAGTTACTGTTGTTATAATTTAAATCGTTAGCATCCCATAATTATGTCGTCCAAGGATTTAGCACTGAATGCCAGTGATTTTAGGAGGGACATGAAATGTAATAAAATGTTATGTATAAGGCCAAATATCTGCCATGCTATGGAGTGTAGTTAACATACTGGTATTACATCTCAGCACTAACCTTTACATTTCCAGTGAGTGTTTCTTCCTGAATTCAGCCTTTGAATGTTCATCTTCCTTACATTATGCTTGTTTCATTGGGGAAATTATATGAGTTTTGACCAAATGGTTTTCAGGCTGATTTCTTTCACACAAACAGACTGCTTTATACTTCATATATAGTTTAAACAACTTGTGATTAAGTTAAATATATTCAGTCTTAAATTTGGGATGATGGTAGAGGGGAGAGATCGCAGGGGCATTTAAAATGGACAGTCCTAGATCTGAGACTCTACACAGGCCCTTGAGGACCCATTTTACTTCCTGTATTAATTTATTACTTCCTGTACACCCTTTCTTCTCTTACTTCTTCAGGATAATTTTAAATTCCAAGTGGGTATGTAGCTAAAATACTCCTGTTAGCCCTGGAGAGGGACTTAGAATCTTAGCTATAGTTTTAAGAGTTTGAATGCTGTCACACTGTCCCCCAACTCTCTGAAGCTTATTTTGACTAGACCCTTACTTCCTTCAGTAGATCTACAATTGTCTTGGAAATATTGACCCTAAATCTGGGGATACGCCAATGTTATTACATTATGTTTCCATTTGTAGGTAATTCACAAACTGCATTATAACAAAGAAATATTTGTTCACAAAGCATTATTCTCAAAGTCAGAAAAAAAATTATTTCAACTGAGCATTATCAGGGAACGTCTCATTAAAAGGTGCCGACTTGGAGATTAGACCTCTTATATTTACCATTACACATTATTTGTCATTTGCTATAATATTTCAACTGGCTTTTTATTGACATGTTTTAAGGTAAAACTTGATTTTTTACTTCATTAACCTTTAAATGAATTTTTGAATTTAATTTGGGGAAATAAAACAGAGTCTAGTTATCCACAGTCTAGTGAAGTAAAAGTGGGAGTTTTTTCCCCTCTGAATTAGGCAATCAATCACTGATAATTTGAGTGAGATCCATCCAGTCCCTCCAATGATTTATGGGAGCCATTTCAGAGGTATTGAAATATTAAATAACACCAAACACTCAATAATAAAGGGTTATTCTAATTTGTATTAAAATATATTTTAAAAAGCTGTGTTTTTATTTTACAGGCGAATTTTGGCTAGGTCTAAAAAAGATTTTCTACATAGTAAATCAGAAAAATACCAGTTTTATGCTGCATGTGGCATTGGAATCTGAAGATGATACGTTGGCTTATGCTTCGTATGATAATTTTTGGCTAGAGGATGAAACAAGATTTTTTAAAATGCACATAGGACAGTATTCAGGAAATGCTGGTAAGTTTTTTATTCCTAAAATTATCCAGAAGATTTAAATATAACTGACTCAGAATTAGGTGAAGATAAAAGGAATGCATTTCTCTTGGTATATGACACATAACTGGTAAGAGGAAAAATTAGGAATGAGAAAAACTGGCCAGGTCTTGAGCTTTGAAACTGTTATGATGATTGCACCACATGTATTTTGCAGTGCTTTATACTCTTTGAAACAATTTGCCGCATGTAATCGCCGTTGATTCTTTAGATAGAGAGCCTGTGGGTTAGGCTTGGAAAACATTATTTACATTTTTTTGTCCAGAGAGGCTGGCATTTAGAAGTCATAAATGCCATTTAGAGCTGATCTTCACTCTTCTCACTCTACAGGTGAAAAAGAAAAACAGAAAGATTAAGTGACTTGCCCAAGATTCCCAGCTCATCACATCTGAGCAAGGGCAAGAACTCAGGTTGATAGAATAATTAGTTTAGTGTTTTTTCACTATATGTTGGCACACTTACTCATTTACAAATAAACTTAATTTGTTAGAACTTCAAAGTACTTTCTGTTAAATTTATATTTTTTATAAGTTTATGTTAAAATTTTAAATTTGAGTTAAGAAGTATGAAATTCAGCTCTTTGTTGCTCATCATGGTTCTCATTCATTATGTATTTTTAGTGTTAGAAATCCAAAAAGAAATGATATATATTCCCAAGTCTTTAAGTGATCATAATATAGAGGGGTAGATAAATAAAACTGAAAACAGAATACTGATAATGTTGTGGCAGAATGCACGGGAGACTGATCAGCCAGCACTCTGAGGGAGGAAAGTTTAACTTTTATTTCACAGATCTGCTGGTCCAGGGGAATTCCTGATCCAAAGCCAGAACTGAACTCGTGGGGAGTCACTGATATCTCTATCTCTATCTCTATCTCTATCTCTATCTCTATCTCTATCTCTATCTCTATCTCTATCTCTATCTCTATCTCTATCTATCTATCTATCTATCTATCTATCTATCTATCTATCATCTATCTATTCCTGTGGCGGCCCCTGAGGGTCCCCGCAGCTCTGCCCAAGTCAGCTGTGGCAGGGCCCTGGGGTTAGGCTCTGCAGCTCTGCCCAAGTCAGTCAGAGTGGGGAAGTAAGACTACAGTTTTAACCAGATACTGAACTAGGTTTCAAGGCCCCCCAACCCCCCACCCCCCATTTTCCTTTTTAGTAAAGCTTTGGGGGTTAAAAGGAAGGAAAAATTTATTATGTTGTTTTACTACAACCCAATGAAAGAGAAAACAAGTCAAACAGACTATATTTAAAGCAACTCTCTGCTCTACTAAAATATTATATAAAATGTATTATTGAAAATTAATTTTGTTGGAATAAAGTAGAAATCAACTGGAAGCATTAACCATCCTATATGCTGTGAATGGAAAGACTTTTTTGAAATAGTAATGTGTTTTTCACAATGCTGTCTGATTTTCAGGTTCATTATTCCTCTACTTGGTTATCTAAAGAAAACGTCAAGTTACATGTAATTAAAGAGTAAATGCTATTTATTTAGGTACAGTATACTAATCTCAAGATAGATATAAATCCAATTTAAAGATGGTTAGATTTTATAGACATTTAGGTGAGGAAAACAGATATATCAAAATGTATACCAATTCAGTTGTCATAGAAATCAGCAGATGAAAATAAACATGTTGCTTATGAAAAAATAAAGGAGGAAGAAAATGATTCCAATTGTTGTATACAGAAAATCATCATGGAAAGGTAGTTTTCAACAAGGGGTTAATATTAGATTCAACCTGGGAAGCTTTTGAAAGTCCTTCAGAATCTGAGTCAGTAAACTGGGGCCCAGGTATTTGCATTCATAGATGGATATGTTGGCATCTTTATAGTTGAGAACCACTGATCTCTGCTTGGAGGAATGAATAGGCTTTTGGCAAATGCCATGTTCTCTATTTACACTCTAACAGAAAACATGGTGTTGAGTTAAATGGGCTCTTTCTTAACAAATAGACATGTGCATGATATTTTTAAAATAACTTCTTAAATATAATCCAGAGAGAAGCTGATTTGGCATATGATTTTTCTGATGATTAGACTTTTTCCAGGGAGAGAATCTGTAGGGGATCCATAAGTACTGTCTCTCTCATCTGAACTTCTGAAAGGTATTGTACCATGTGGATGTTGAAAATACATTCTGCAAATACTTGCAGTGTGGGCATTTTGTTTCCCATGAAGAATAGAGTCTGAGAGTCTGCGTATAGGTATAGGATAGGCCAGGGGTGGGCAACCTTTTTGTGAGTGCATGCCAAAACCAGCAAAATCTGACTCAAAATTCTTCTGCATGCCAACCCTAATTTTTTGAGAACATGTTACTCCTACTTGATATCTCTTAAGGTGTACATATGTGAAGAACCTTGAAGAAATAATAAAATTCATTCGAGTGACAAAAACACAGTATATGATGATGAAAAATACATTTATTTTTTAACGTATACATGTACACTGATAGTCCAACAGAAAACTTTATGACTCCGTTTGATATTATCAGTGGGACTTTTTGCTGCTGCATCAATGATGACAAAGATTTTACAACAGGTTATATTTCATGACCATCAGAGATATGCACGAGCTACTACTTTCATCCATCAGGCTACTCCTATTACGAGACTTAACAAAATTCATCACTGAGAACAAAGATTCACAAGCGTATGTGGATGAAACCAAAACACTGGTCGGATCTAGGAAGGCAGGGAGAGTTAAGGCAGAGGCATAGAAATTGCTCTTCCCCTCTCTCGTCAATCCATGTCTATGGTCTTTAAGATAACTTGTTATGCAAAATTATTCATTTATTTAAGATGCACCTACACTGAATTTATCTGAAAAATAAAAAAGTCGATATTAAGAAAAAAATTGTAAATGGAAGATTATAAGAGAGGGTTTCGTGTGCCAGCAAAAGTTACTGGTGTGCCATGTTTGGCAGGCATGCCAGGGGTTGCCCACCCCTGGGATAGGCCATCACACTGCTAATCAAGTTCTCCAACTCCTCAAAGACATACTAGTATCTCAAGAGATGCCAAATGTTTGGGAGCATAATGAAACCAACATGGGCTTTGAATTCTTCAAAGATTTTGCATAGCTTCACTTTTAGTTCAAACTTATTAGCAAAGTTTACCTACAGGTGAAATCTAGGTACAATGGGACTAATTAGAATTGTTTTTAATCTTTAATTTCTTTATTGATTAAGGTATTACATATGTGACCTCATTCCCCCCATAACCCCCCCCCCCCACTCATGCCCTCACCCCCCTGTTGTCCGTGTCCATTGATTAGGCCTATATGCATGCATACAAGTACTTTGGTTGATCTCTCCCCCTTACCCCCACTGTCCCCTACCTTCCCTCTGAGGTTTGACGGTCTGATTGATGCTTCTCTGTCTCTGGATCTGTCCCTGTTCATCAATCTCTGTTATTCACTATATTCCACAAATGAGTGAGATCATGTGACATTTATCTTTCTCTGACTGGCTTATTTCACTTAGCATAATGCTCTCCAGTTCCATCCATGCTGTTGCAAATGGCAAGAATTCCTTCTTTTTTACTGCAGCATAGTATTCCATTGTGTAGATGTACCACAGTTTTCTAATCCACTCATCTGCTGTTGGGCCCTTAGGCTGTTTCCAAATCTTAGCTATTGTAAATTATGCTGCTATGAACATAGGGGTGCATATATCCTTTCTGGTTGGTGTTTCTAGTTTCTTGGGATATATTCCTAGAAGTGGGATCACTGGGTCAAATGGAAGTTCCATTTTTAGTTTTTTGAGGAAGCTCCATACTGTTCACAGTGGCTGCACCAGTCTGCATTCCCACCAGCAGTGCACGAGGGTTTCTTTTTCTCCACATCATCTCCAACACTTGTCGTTTGTTGATTTGTTGACGATAGCCATTCTGACAGGTGTGAGATGATACCGCATTGTCCTTTTTATTTGCATCTCTCGTATAATTAGTGACTTTGAGCATGTTTTCATATGTCTTTCAGACTTCTGTATGTCCTCTTTTGAAAAGTGTCTATTTAGGTCCGTTGCCCATTTTTTGATTGGATTGTTTTATCTTCCTTTTGTTAAGTTGTATGAGTTCCCTGTAAATGTTGGAGATTAAACCCTTTTCGGTGATAACATTAGCAAATATGTTCTCCCATGAAGTAGGCTTTCTTGTTGTTTTGTTGAGAATATTTTATTTATACAGATTTTATAAAACAAAACATGACTCCTATCCCTGCAACTTAGTTAACTGCTTTGCCTTGGCCGAGATTCGTAATCTTTGAAGATCATTGGGACTATCAGGGATATGGTACATATAATGTCCAGTGTAAGCCCTTTAAAAATTGTATTCTTTTAACTATTGTCCAGTTAGTTCCAATATCATTTGGAGAGCCACAAAGAAAAGGCACATTTCACCAGTGTGCCTATTTTTTTCTTGAGGGCATTGGGCATCCTATATAATAAAAGGCTAATATGCAAATTGACCAAACAGCAGAACGACTGGTCGCTATGACATGCACTGACCACCAGGGGGCACATGCTCAACACAGGAGCTGCCCTCTGGTGGTCAGTGTGCTCCCACAGGGGAAGCGGTGCTCAACCAGAAGCTGGGCTCACAGCTGGCGAGTGCAGTGGCGGTGGTGGGAGCCTCTCCCACCTCTGTGGCAGTGCTAAGGATGTCTGATTGACAGCTGAGGCCTGCTCTCCAGGGGGAGCAGGCCTCAGCTGTCAGTCGGACATCCCCTGAGGGCTCCTGGATTGTGAGAGGGCATAGGTTGGGGTGGGGACCCTTGTGAGTGCAGAATTTTGTGCACCGGGCCTCTAGTTTTATATAAACTTGGCAGCTTATAAATAAAACCAAACCACTTTTGCAGTAACAAAGCTAAGTTTTTTAAATGCAGAAGTTTCACATTCATTCTTACCTCTCTAACATGTAAAATGGTAGTGTTATGAAAACCTCTTATATATAAATTATTTTCTTTTTCTAAATTAACAATGATCACATTACTCTTCCCTGAAGAATGACAGGTCTATACACCATCATCTTTGGCCTAAATAAGCTGAATAAATCTACACAGTCAAACTTCCATTTTGGATCGTGATTTTTTAAAAATTATAATGTTATATCAAATGTCCACTTAAAGATCCCTATAATGCTAAGGAATTTATTACCAGGTTTTGCCATATTGCAATCTGGAGGAGAGTTTGTAATATGACATCTTGTAGAAAATAATTTAAATCTCATTTCTAGATGCAATGCTTTTGCATAATAGGCTGGTAAAGGTCAATTGAAAATTACAAAAAGTGCCTTTAAATTTAGTCATTTACAAAATCTATTTTACCCAGGTGATGCTTTCCGGGGCTTCAGGAAAGAAGATGATCAAAATGCAATGCCTTTCAGCACAGCAGATGTTGATAATGATGGATGTCGTCCCGCATGCCTGGTCGTTGGTCAGTCTGTGAAGAGCTGCAGTCACCTCAATAACAACACTGGCTGGTGGTTCAGCCAATGTGGACTAGCAAATCTGAATGGTATCCATCGCTTCCCTGGAAAATTGCTTGCGACTGGAATTCAATGGGGCACATGGACCAAAAACAACTCACCTGTCAAGATTAAATCTGTTTCAATGAAAATCAGAAGAACTTACAATCCATATTTTAAGTAATTTTATTTTAAATTGTAATTCTTGTTCCATAATTATTTTTTTTATAAAATATAAAAGATTTTACATAGTTTTTCTTTTTACTGAGTGTTTCAAACATTTTAGCCAACATTTAACTATAGATGACATCTAGGGGTTGAGAGTGTTATTAGAAAATTTTAATTTTGTAGAGTTTTAATGAAAGAAAGCATGGCTCTATGTATACTTTTCATTACTAACTATATTAATAATAAATAATAAAATTTATTTTAAGTAAATTATGATATCTTCTGGAATCTGTTGTCCTTTTAAAGGGTCCCCTCCTCCCTTTTTAAAAATCTTTATTGTTGAAAGTTACATAGGTCCTCCTTGATCCCCCATTAATCTCTTCCAGCCGGCTCCCTCCCCTGCCCCCCAGGGTCTCACCACCCCATTGTTTGTGTCTATGCATTGTGCATATATACATACTAGTTCATTGGTTGATCTCTTCCCACCCACCCTCCCCTGTCTTCCTTCTGAGGTTCAACAGTCTGTTCATGCTTCTATCTCTCTGGGTTTTTTTTTGATCATCAGTTTATTTGGTTCATTAAATTCCATATATGAGTGAGATCATGTGATATTTATCTTTCTCTGACTGGCTTATTTTGCTCAGCATAATACTCTCCAGGTCCACCCATGCTATTGCAAATGGTAAGAGTTCTTCCTTTTGTATTGCCATCTAGTATTCCATAGTGTAAATGCACCACAGTTTTTTTATCCACTCATCTGCTGATGGGCACTTAGGCTGTTTCCAAGTCTTATCTATTGTAAATTGTGCTGTTATGAACATAGGGGTGCTCCCCCCTTTTTAAAAAGCATTAAATCATCATAGTTTGTTAGAAAAATTGAAGAGCACATTATACTTATTTCTATATTTATTCTAAATGGTACCTATGTAATCTACAGATAATTTCTATTGAAGACAATTCTAAGAAAAAACTTTGTGCTGATTAATATATAAACTTCACATGGTTTAAAGAAACTTACTATATCTAGGTGATTCCACAACATTTTATAGGTAAGAATTTGCTGTAAAAATTAAGTCCTTGTTTTCCCATTTTATTGTAATTAATAATTTTATTTTTATTATGTAATAAATTATTTTTTTATTTATTATGTAATTACATTATATTTATTATGTAATAAATTATTTATTTTATTATGTAATAAATTTATTATGTATATCCTGATCAGTTGCATTCTAAACACATTTACATCTTTCTCTTTTTAAGCCAATAGAAATGGTATGAACTTTAAGTGAAGGACAATGGAAAAAAGTGATGAGTCAGTGGTCTCTACAGGGGGAAACATGCTGTGCCAAGTGACAGTTATTGATAAAAAAGTTGAGGGAAACAACAAGAATTAGTAAAGTACTTTGTCCAGAGTTAGGATTAAACCATGTACAAAGGAGGGTAGAGGTGGCTTAAAAATGAGGTGGGAAGAGGACTGACTTAAAAATACATATGAGGATATAGATATCAGGGTGAGATCTGAGCCCAGAATAGAGCTGACCTAGCTCAGAACGTAGGATCTGATCTGAGTTTAGGGATGGGCAAAATGACGTGGTCGCCATTCAAAATTGCTTTCACTTCGATCTACTCTCCAAGCAGTGAATAAATCATGTAACAGCATTTACATGAAATAAGGTTGCAGGCGCATGAACGTGGCCTCCTGTGCCCTGGAGAAGTGTTGAACTGTGGGTGCACTGCCTTTTATACCTACAGTGATTTGAACACCAGGAAACTCTATCTACGAATTAAGGACGTTATGTTGCTACTTAGTAAGCCACATCTAATGTGTGGATCTGGACCTTGAAATTCTTGCTGAGCTTGCACATGGGCAATCTCCTTTATTGCACTGCAAAGTACAGGGGCTTCATATTTTTAATCCCAGCATGAAGACTTTGGCGATCATGGAAACGTTGAAGGTAAAAGCATGATGGGAATAAATGCTGGGGCAATAAGGAAAAGACAGATCCAGAGAGCAGCAAGAAATTTCACTTTCTTTAGGCTTGGGAGTGGGAAGATATATATGATTTTGAATGGCAAAGGGACGATAACCTCTAGGATGCCTTGTGAGAAGCTGTAAAAGTATTAAGAGGCCCCCAATCCCATTGCAAAGGAGAAGGTATACCTTGAGTAATAATCCTGAGCTTCACACTTCCCAAAATGAAGTGACCTGACCCTCAGAAGTTAAGAGATCAGGAAAACTGGTCCCTTTTTGCTATCTACTACTTCAACAGCATGCAGGCACGTGTTAGAAGGAGGCATTAAAGGTCTCAGTCACATACCTGTGGCCTGAACGACATCATTATAGATCCATTCTTTCAGGATCTGAGGACTTTCCTGGGTAAATGGTCCCATTTAAGAACACAACTACTTTATTCTTTCATCAACTTAATCACCAGTAAACACTGAAACTGTGTCCAGTTAAAAATCAAAAGAAAGAGATACAGATCTGAAAGTTTCTCTCTAAACCATCATAGATTAGTTATAAATGGAAAAAGTCATTATAATAGCTTTGAGAGCTATAGTTCTTAGAAGTAGTCCAAAAGCAAGTAATAACCTATTTTAAAAAGAACTCTACAGCATTACTAAGAAACATAAATAACTTTAAATAGCAACACAAACATGATCTTTGATTAGAAGACTTATGTCAAGGGGCCCCAGATGTATGAAGGAGAGTGATGGGGTGTGAGAACCAGAACAGTTTGGAGTTGCAGGAACAACGTGTGAGGAGGATTTAGGTTGTATCAAGAAGTCACTGACACAAATTGCCTCACTCTCAGATATGACATAGGTTTTACTGAGAAATGCATAGGCTGGTAGATAGGAGAGCCTGCTTATCTCAATGAGCAGTGTGCTCTGGGAGGCCACTTTTGTAACAGGATAAGTTTCAGGGTTGAGAAAGTGATCTTGTTTGAAAGGCAGAGTCCACTGAAGTCCAGTGGCTGGTACCTGCTCTTTCCATTGAGCCAGCACAGATCCACTGAGCCTGCTCTTTGGTAAGCGACCAGAGAAGGGAGACAATGAGCCCATAGGCTATTCAGACCTGTCTCCAAAGTAGTCCATAAATTTAAAATAAGGGCACCATAAAAGGTCAACAGGATTTTCTTTTTTTTGAATTTTGCAGAAATCTGAAGTGCTTCCAGAAGTATGATGAATTGTTATGAAAGTGTATTATAAATATATGAGTTTTTAAAATTACTTTGTGACAAATGACCACAAATTTAGTGGCTTTAAAAGACACTCATTTATTAGCTCACAGTTCTGTGTCAGATGTTTGACAGGTGTGGGTGGGCTTTCTGCTCAAGGTATCATGTGCTGAAATCAAGGTATAAAAATGCTGAATCGCTATTGTACACCTGAAGCTAATAAAATTGATACTAGAGACCTGGTGCATGAATACGTGCACCAGTGGGTCCCTCGGCCTGCATGTGGGATAGGGCCAAAACTGGCTCTCTGACATCCCCCAAGGGGTCTCGGATTGCAAAAGGGTGCAGGCCAGGCCAAGGGACCCCATTGGTGCACCATTTGGGCTGGGAAAAGACACGGGAGGTTGGCCAGCTGGGGAGGGGCTATGGGAGGGCTCCAGGGCGTGTCCAGCCCATCTTGCTCAGTCCTGATTGGCCAGACACCAGCAGCAAGCTAACCTACCAGTTGGAGCGTCTGCTCCCTGGTGATCAGTGCATGTCATAGCGACTGGTCAATCATTCGACTATCTGCCCCCTGGTGCTCAGTGCACATCATAGCGACTGGTCAACCAGTAGACTGTCTGCCCCCTGGTGGTCAGTGCATGTCATAGCGAGCGGTTGAGTGGTCTTAGCATATCATTAGCATATTACGCTTTGATTGGTTGAACTGCCAATGGGTCGACCAGACACTTAGCATATTAGGCTTTTATTATATAGGATAATATTTATAACAACTATACTTATATAAATTAAAAAAAAAAAGATGTCATCCATCTGGGTTCAGGGATCTCTTTCAAGCTCATTGGGTGTTGGCAGAATTCATTTCCTGTGTTGGCAGAATTCATTTCCTGTAGGATTGAGGTCCCTGTTGTTCCTCTAGCAGAGAGCTGGGACCACTCTCAGCTCCTAGGGGCCACCTGCTGTTCCTTGACATGTGGCTCCAAGGGGCAGTTTATAAGATGGACATTTGCTTTCTTCCACACTAACATTTCTCTAGCTTCCTCCTCTGTGGCCAGCCAGAAAAAAGCTTGCTGCCATTAGAGCTCATGTGATTAAGTCAGGCCCAGCTGAATAATCTCCATAGCTTAAGTCTACCAGACCTGAGGCCCTGAACCTGACTGTCCCCTATACCTGGGCTCCTGAGCATTAAAGAGTAAAAACCAACATGATATAGAAAAATGTTGGTTACATGCAAACAAGTGGTTAGAATAAGATGGAACTTGGAAACATTGTAGAAAATAGGTCTACCTTTCATCTAGCACCAATATTCCACCTTTGTGTGGAAATTACCGAAAAATCGGTACAGCGGTCTGGTAGGGTTAAGATTAACTGATTTGGAACTTTAATTGCATCTGAAAATCTTTTCAAAGCAGTACCTAGAGTAGTGTTTAATTGAATTACTGTGAGAAGGTATGTGTATAAAAGGAACTGGGAATCTTGGGGGCAATTTTAGAATTCTGCCAACCACAATAAAGTGGCAAAATTAAAACAGTTATATTGAGAAAAACAGAAAAGCCATTAGAATAGAAATTCTACAATGATAAAATTATATAATGTAGTATATAAAAAAGAGTTTTATATTGGTGAGAGACAGATTGATAAATGGTAATGAAGAATAATGGCCAAAATTTGAAAATAACTTTAGATTGATTAAATACATTTTAAAAAGCCCAAATCATCTAGCATTTGATGAACATACCAGCAAATCCTTTTATTTCAAAAGAAGAAGGATTTCATTTGATGACTTGAATATTTTAAGCTTCTGTATACCTGAAACACCATAAGCAAAGTTAGAGACAAGTAAAAAACTAGAAAAAGCATTTTAATGAATGACAAATTATATTTCTTATGTATAATGAATCTTAAAATGTAAGAACAGCCTTAT